CTCCTCTCTCTCTCTCTCTCTCTCTCTCTCTCTCTCTCTCTCATTGAACTGGTCTGAGCTATGCGATTCCCGTTATTTTTCTCTTTTCTTTCTCATACGCATTCACATCTCTTCATTGATCGATCCTTTTTCTCCTAGTGAATCAAACGAAAGTCCTAGCTTCTAAAATTCAACAACGCAACACTAAAAAACGATCTCATCGTCGTCATTCTGGCGTCATTCTGAAATCGACAGAAAAGTCAGGGCCGAACCAAGAAGTCTAAATAGATATTGAAAGAACAGATCCAATCATCAACATGAATTATTACTGCTTCTGATTCTTCTCTAAACCAGCTTTCAGCATCTTCATCTAACTCTGTTCCTTCTTCCACCTCTGTACAACATCAATATCAACCAATCACACCTAGTTATTCACTAGTGCATCCGATGCAGAATACCTCATCGATTTCTATGCCCTATCCCCAGGTCCCTTATTTCAAGATCTCTTTTTGAGGATTTAGAAAACGAAGAATCCCATTCTATAGACCTAATCACTCCACCTCCTGAAGAACATCAGAAACTTCCGTCTTTAACCCTCATGTATTAATCTTTTGTCATTATACACATATTATACACGATTTTTATTATTATATATTTTAGTAATTTTTCTTTCGTTTGCTTATTATGTAATCATTAGTTTAAGTTAACCAGAGAATATTAATTGTATTACCGGGTAGGATCATACCAAAGATTCATTCACTCGTACATTCATACTTTCTCTTATAAGAATCCTACCCGATGGCCTCCGTACTTATGTAACACCCGCGATATCACATATACGTATTTACACAAATGTTTCTTCTCTTGTTTCTTCCGCTCTTTATTATGTATATCTTTATTTTATCAATTAAAATCAATGTTTAATTTTAATTTTTATTTTCTTTCAAATCCTCGATCTCTTTTTCCCCTCCCATTGATCGCACGAGGTCTTTCCCTGGTAATAAGAATTAAGTTTTTTTACCAAAAAACGACCGACGAACGTACGTCTACAGCAAGGCGTATTAGCGATTCTTTATCGTTGACCCAGTGCCGAGACATAAACAGTGTGTTCGACTCGAGATCACGTTTCCACGCTCGACTCTCGAGAGAACAGCTATTCGTCCTTCCAAGCCTATTCAATCCATTTAAATTCTTAGATCTTAATTTTACAATTTACTCTGGACTAAACGTAACAGTGTATATCATTTTCCGGTGCATTCAAAATCACTTTTCACGCGAATTGTTGTAACTTCTTTAAATTTTAATATTTTTTAATGAAATTTAAGCTACAACAAATTAAATATATGTATTAAAAAAGAGCCAAATTAGAAATTGCTAGCGTTTATACTTATTTCGCAATTCAAGCTCAAAGAATGTTCGCTTTTTAAGCCAGTCAAACTGGTCTACCCCCTTAATTGGGAGCCTAATGTATCTGGAGATATTGCCTATGCGGTCAGCGTATTGAGTCAATTTAATGACTATCACAACGAGAAATATTTGCAGGCGACAAAACGTGTATTTCGTTACTTGAAAGGAATTCAGAAAATCGGACTGATGTACAATGCTAATAATAAT